AGGGGTATATTTTCGGTCATGGTCTAGAACCAGAAGTAGAAAGCAAATGCAGAGTGGTGATGGGCCTGAAGCTGTGTCTGCTGCCCCAGCTTCAGACGCAGGCAGAGGCAACCTGGAGCTCAACTCCCGTGGGATCCCCGTGTGAGGCTGGGGACCAGGGCCAGGCTCGGCTAAAAACCATCCCATTAGAGAAGGTAGAAAAAACAACTTCCCACTGTTGCTTGGAGCAAGGACTTAATCATACGCTCCACTCTTGAGGAGGCAAAGGATACAGACATGTCTCACCACCGGAACCTCGCTGTGCCAGCCACTAGTTCAGAGACAGGATTTGAAATAGTGTCCATATCACAGAGGCAGGAGCCCCAAGAAACCAGTATAAGACCTGGCTCTGGAATGGGAAACCCAGTGGCAACTACAATACTATGAATCCAAAACCAACACTGTCTCACAAACAACTGTACGCGAGGCTAACAGCAAAGCTGGTATCCTCAGCACGAGGACTGATGATTATGGTGGATGAGACAGAAGATACAATCAGCATCCAATTATATACAGCTAAAGAGTGACTCTGCTTAACGCCAACAGAAAGTCTTCCCTTCAATTCATTGAAGGTGAATTGTTTCCCTTCCTTTTCCTATAAAAACTCCTTGTCTTCACCCTGCTATTGGGACACTATTTCGGTTTCTGCCTGAAACTGTACTCCACAAATTGCATTGCTTTTTGATCTGAAATAAATGCTTATTGCTTCCATTTTGATTTTTTACTTTTAGGTTAAAAAATCAACAATAAAGAGGTTTTTTTTAAACTGTACTCCTGATTAATGGGTAGCTCAAAATGGAAATTATGAAATATTTATAATGTGGAATAAATGAAAACACAGCAAATGAAACCTGTAGAATGCAGGCAAAGTAGGATAGAGAAGTAAATTTATTAAAAGAAAATAAGAAATATTTAAAATGGTTAAGCATTCAACTTTAACCGATATGAAGAAAAAATATTAAATTCAAAGAAAATAGAGGAAACTAACAGAAATAAGAGCAAAATGAACAGAATACAAAACAACTGCAAAAAAAAATGAAACAGTAGAGAGTGTCCACAAAATCAAAAGCAATTTCTTTGAAAATATTGATAAAAGAAGCAAGCCTCTAGGTACCACGGAAGGAAGGAAGAGAGGAAGGGAGGGAGGGAGGAAAGAATTGGGTAACGTTATGAACAAAAAGGAAGGCTACAAAAGACGGGGAGAGAGGTGCAGACATGTTAGGGCGCTGGGTGAAACAAGCAGACGCAGGTAAGGCAGGACCGTCTAGAAGGCTCCAACATCCAAGAGCAGCAGGGGGCCCTGGATCCTCCAGGGAAGAAGAAACCACAGAAAATAAGAAAAAAGACTCCAGAGAAGAGCAAGAAACGCACTAAAGTGAGAGGCAAGTGAAGAGCAGCGCAAAGCAATCATATGCTAACTCTTCAAGTACAGTATCTTCTTTTCTAAAAAATAGGTAGCATAATATAAAGTAAAATCAATTTAGAATAAAGTAACTTTATTAAGAACTATTATACAAGATTAAATAATATAGCAGAAGGCTGAAAATGAACCTAATTGTTCCTTTACACACCTGAATTGCTCATTACCAGAAATCAGGTATTCATGAGGAAAGCACAGCCAGTCTTTCTCTGGAGAAGAGCCCCTGTTCCAGCCACCCACCAAAGGTCACGTTCCTGATTTCTTTTGTTTCATACATTTTAAAACACGGATTATTTTGTTTCATTTTTATTTTTAAAATTTTTTACTTAATAAAAATTACAGAAAATCTACCAGTGAACTCAGCGTGCTGTTTGTGTATATTTTATTTACATGTATGTATGTATGTATGTCTTTATTTTAGACATGTGAATGAGATTTATCAAAACAGGGTTAGGTAAAAATGTGGTCAGTCAAAAAAAAAATGGTGCCCACCTAAATAGTCTTCCAGAAAAGTTCTTGAAGACATCCTTTTCCTACCCTTGGAGATACTTTTCCTGCACCAGGCTCTCAGACCTATGCCCAAAGGCTCTTGTGTTTTAACAGGGGAAAGTACATCGCTTGCCTTTAAGAAATAATATGCTTTAAGGATACGAGCAGACAGAAAGTTTTGCTAAGCCTTTGTAAAACAGGTTTTCCTAGCATCCTTAAAATCACAAAATGTAGACCTACCACTATCCTGTCAACGCCTCGGACCACGGATGCCTACATATAGGCCAGGATGTGAAACTGCATGTGTGTGGAGCCAACTATTAGGTAATACATAATTCAGCTATTCCTTCACACATGACCTTGTTGCTCAACATAAAGAAATCACAACGATCTCCCTTAATAATGGATCTATCCAGGTTCCTCTTTTGATCAAAGTGTGTTTACACAACAATGTAATTATAAATAATCCAAAGCCACAAGTCCAACTCTAAGGCCCAGTGCTCTTATTTATGCATCGTAAACAAGCTTCCTGTTCCCTATTCCCACACCCCCACCCTGTGCTCTCCTCCTTCTCAGTTTTGCTTATACTTACGTTGAATCTAAAGCAAACTCTAGATACAGGTGGTGACTGTCAGAGGTGGGGGGTGGGGAGCGGGCCTGATGGTTTGTTAATAAGCCAGGCGGTGAAAGACAAACACCATATGATGTCACCTTTAATAGGAACCTAATCAACAAAACAAGCAAACAAGCAAAACATAACCAAAGACACTGAAACTGAGAACAGGCTGACAGTGACCAGAGGGGAGAGGGGAGGGAATTTCAGGGAAAAAGGGGAAGGGTTTGCAGGAACAAGTATAAAGGACACATGGACAAAAACTGGGGGGATGGAAATGGGAGGGAGGTGGGGAGGGCTGGGGATGTGAGCTGGGATGGGGGTAAAAGGCAGAAAAACTGTACTTGAACAACAATTAAAATAAAAATAAAACAATTTTTTTAAAGTACAAACTTTCTGCTACATAGTAAATAAGTCGGGGGATGTGATGCACAGCATGGTGACTCCAGTTAATAACACTGTGCTGTGTGTTTGAAAGTTGTTAAGAGAGCAGAACTTAAAAGTTCTCATCACAAGAAAAAAATTATAACTATGCATGGTGATGGATGTTGACTAGATTTATTATGAACATTTCACAATATGTATCAATATTGAATCATTATGTTGAACACCTGAAACTAATATGTTCTATATCAATTATATCTCAATTTTTAAAAAGAATTTATCAGGTTAAGATATACAAAGAATTCAAATAAAATATTAAGAAAAACCACATGGCAATTTTTTTAAAAGTCTCTATCTAATAGCTTAAATAACATGACAGGAAAGGTTCTTCACTGACGGGGAAATTTAGGACTATGTGAGCTGCGAAGTCATGAACAGAACAAGGACATATTTGGAGATGATCTTTCTAAGTCAGCCTTACAACCTTCTCTTCAATGACAATGAGAAGATGGAGGAAGGTGGCTTAAAAGGTGACACCAGGATCTGTTCTGGGGGGAAAAGGTATCTTCTTCCAGGCTTCATGTTCAAATCACCTCACAATTACAACAGTGCGCTCACAACAAACTGTATCTAACTCTTGATAAAAATCGCTATCATTTCGCTTCATCTTCTGTGAGAGAGCACCACAGAGCTCATTAGAAAGGACATTCTCCCTGGCAGTGGCCCTTCCCAAGCAGACGTGAGCACTGAGGACAAGGTGGCAGTGCCTCCACACTACAAAGGCATCTTGATCTTGTGGGCTCCGCTCACCTGGCCCTGCCTATCAGACGATCAATGCCAGCAGGAGAATTACATTTAATTGCCTTGTTCAGTACTAAGTTTTAGGTACAATGTCACATGAGGAGTTAGAAAAAAAGAGTTTCTAGTTGAGATTAATTTATAAAAAGCCTATTCAGTTGTAACTCAGAGATAAGGCTCTCTCCACAGATCTATACAACCTCTAACAGACAAATCCCCAAATTTTTTTATTTTTATTTTATGATTTTTAAGATATAGCTACTGATTAGGCTATTACAGTTGTCCTGATTTTTCCCCCTTTGCCCTCCTCCACCTAGAATCCCCCACTCCCTCAGGCCATCCCCCCACCATTGTTCATGTCCATGGGTCATGGGTGTAAGTTCCTTGGCTACTCCATTTCCTATACCGTACTGTACATCCCCGTGGCTATTCTGTAACCACCTATTTGTGCTTCTTAATCTGCTCACCTCATCTCCCATTCCCCCTCATCCCTCCCTTTTTTTATTTAAATCACCTTTCCTAATTACTCTTATTAGGGGTTCCCAGAGATGTTCATCCTTTTGCCATGCAGCAATTTTCTTTTTTTATTCATTTTTATTGCAATTTTTATTTTACCATTTAGCCACCTTATAATCATGCAGCAATTTTCAATGTAGCTTTAGTAACAGTGTTAGATTTAAATACACAAATGCATGGAGCGTGTGAGCACACGCGCGTGCACACACACACAAGGCCAGGTCCATTCTCTGGTACCAATGTCCAAAGTTGAATAACAGAGATTATCAAGTACATTCAATGAGTGAGATTTAAATATAATTACATCTGATCTAATGTTTGCCTTCATGCTAAAAATATGATGGCTTCCTATTTTTACAGAGTCCATCATGATCACTGTCATCATCAGAAGGTAATAGCATGGCTAATATATTATGCTGCTGGTGGTGTCAGAACGAACAAACAGAAAAACATTTGTGATCTGTGCAGAGTGCTATGCTTTCCCGTGTTGAGTGGAGGGTGTGTGTGAGAATGCATGGAAGAGGTGGGGTTGGAAGTGCCTCCTACAGGAGGCAAGAGGCTTGGAGAAAAGCAGAGCTGAGGTGGTCCTCCCCTAAACTGGAACATCAGAGATGCTCAGAAAGGTTTGTAGAATAAGAGAAATCGGTGTGTGCATCCCCCAGGATATGATCTTCGTGATGATAAATCCTTTAAATAAAGATTGTACTGAAGATCCACAACAATCCTTTGCACTGCACTTACTGCTCATCTCGATCTCTGAGACGAGGACACACAGATTTGGAGGAGTGCCGTAACCTGTTCGAGGACGAAGAGCTATAGGTGCCAGAGACAGGACTCAAGCCAGGACCCTCTGACTCACAAAGTTAAGTAAGCTCTTAAACTCTGGGCATGTTCCCTCTCTCACTGTGAAAGGAACAAAAACAAATTCCCACAGGATGGTGTGAGAGAAGAATCAGGAACTGTTTTTTTAACCTGGAAGAATCTGTGAAATGAAGAAAAGAAGTTTAGAGTAGAAAGTTCTTGGTGGTATTGGTGGTAGAGCTGAAAACTGTGCTCTATTTGCCGAGGAAAGGATACATTTTCCTCCAAAAAAAAAAAAAAGGCCACGTCTATCTTGTAACCTATGTGCCTACTTCTAGCACTTTGGAGATTTTAAATGAGAATGCCGCCATATCCCACGGTGCAGAGAGAAGCAGCACAGATACCCAAGCTGGATGAAACCCTTACATCCTATGAGCCGCTCCTTAACCGAACTTCCAAGTCCCAAGCCACGTATCTCTTGTCTCTCATTGCTTTAACATTTGTTTCAAACTGAATGTTACAGAAATCAGGAAAGAATAAGGGCCACACCATGCTGTCTGAGTCTGCCACCAACCCAGAAAATGATAAAAAGAAATGCATTTGACAGCTGCCAAATGGAAGGAAAAATCATGTTTTTCTCTACCCAGTAACTTATAGCCACTTTAAATATATTAGAAGTACCAAAAAATTTATTTCTCAATGAAACATCCTTGTAAAATTTAGCTTACGACTAAACACTTATGCATTTTATGAGCTGGAAAGTGCTGGGATCAAGGAGATAAAGAATAAAGATGGCATTTTTTTTGAAGTGGAAGGTGGCAGACTCTGACCACAAGACTACAAGAGAGAAATCAAAGATGAAGTAATTTTGAAGATGAGAAGAAAAAAGATAAAGAGCTCTGTGTTAATCATCATTTTTGTATTTCTATGATTTGCTTAAAAATCACAGAGTATTTACTATTTTGCAACAACTACCCCATAATTGGTAGAATTATTATGAAAAAATATTAGGTTAAGAAAGATGTTTAATGCAAATAAGAAATTGGGTGGATTCCCATAGGGAGAGAATTTAGTTCTCAGGTTTGCAAGTCAAGAAACTCTCTACATACACCTTTCTGATTTTCACATTTAGCATTATTGCTGCTAATTTTTCTACACTAACAGAAAAATGATGTGAAAGAAGATTAATGTTGGCCCTAATAATAGTAACATTTTTCATTATTTTAACTAGGGCTAATTGACATTCTACCTAGTGATATTAGCAAAAACAAATGTTAAGTTTCAAGATAAGTATGAAATGATCATGTTTTGTAAAAACTATAAATAAATATGCAATGCAATTTCATTATCTTTTTTCTTTTCCTTTTCACTATTTAATTTTCCTACAAACAACATGAATTACTCATAATTTTTTAGAGAAGGAATCGGAAGAAATAAACCATAATGAAATGACTTTAATTAACCAAAGTCATCTAACCCTAAGAGGGCGACTTCTCCGTTTCTTGTGGTCGCTAACACGGTCTTCGTGGGCACGGATACTGCTCGAACACTGCTGTCAGAACAGTCAGCCGGAGCCATCTTGCCTGAGAAAGCTTGGAACACATAGATTTTTGTGGTTTTGTTCAAATTATTATTATGTAACTGATGGTTCAAAGATCCATGGAACACCATGTCTTTTATTCATTTCAAAATATCTTTATATTTTTCTTCTATTATATTTAATGACATTTTACTATGGTTTGTTCCTGGTGTCATATTCAGCTCCTGTCAAAATCACACTAGGTGAGTCATTTCTGAAAGACATGGCTCCCATGCATAGTAAATTCTACCCATGCGTAGTGTTAGCATCAGCCTCAGAGGGTTGATATTTCCTGACCTTCACTCCAGTTTCAATTGTGCATCTTATCTGAAGGCCTGTGGTCTTCTACCTACTGGCTATGCTAGTTAGAGTGAAAAATTCAGTATTGTTATCGCATGTTTCAGCTTGGAGTATTAAATGGTCTGTTGAACTGTGTTATCATCATTGCTGATCATTAGTCTTTGTCATTAAGATGACAAACTAGTTCTTGAGGAATTTAAATCTTTATGTATAATTGGTCTTTTGAAAAGTAAGAGAAGAAATGGGAATATAGGAGGGACTACAGGTGCGTTTAAAAAGAGAGAGAGAGAGAACATAAAGTGGCCTCTTAGAAACGTACATGTACGAAGGAGATCTGTTTCAGAGTTTAGGGTATTTAACCTACTTTTAACTTACATATATGGCCTAATCTTAGTTATACGGGCCTAGAAAAATCTATATAAAATGAGTGTGACTAATAGTCCCATATCTCAAGGAAAGTCACTCATAACCCTGACGTAAGTAATTTTATCACCTCTCAAAGTTCCTAGAAAGATTGATAACCAGAGATGAGCTTCTTTTCACGCAATCTTGCATTTTGCTTCAAATTAAACTTTTATTTTGCAGATACACACAAATATGAAGGGTTGGGTAGATTACGCTGTTAGTAATCGTGCCTTTGGAAGATACATCATTTCACCATCGCTGTGAAGCCCTCTACAATTTGAAAACTGGATTAACTGCAATACCAGGAGGCAGTGACCTTGCCCATTTCACAGTCTCTGTGATAACAAGGCCAGGGCTAGAAACTGAAACATGTACTGACTAAATAAATCACTGCAATAAATCATATTGCAAATCATCTGATTTGCTAGCCTGTCTTTGAATTGCTACAGGCATAATAAATTACACCTATAACAACCAACAGTCAACAGGAAAAAAATTTAAGTAGCAATATTATACCAGTATCTGGTTGCATCACCTTAAAAAATTTCTGGACAAGTGCATTTTGAAGTTAAAATAAAATCCTAGGTAGGATCAGTTTTCTGAACAGCCCATATACCCCCTGGGAACTTGAATATCTGCCGCCAAGAGTTTCCAACATGTAAAATCCAGCTTGTGACATTTCTGTGTATAATGGGATTATCCCAATATTTTCCCCACCCCTAATCAGGGTTAGGCTATTCAACAACAGAAGCACTTAAACAGAAACCAAGGATCATTAAGAAAACATTCATGTTTGGCAATTAGATCATGTATTTACCAAAGGCTAAGATATGTGAGTCCTCTGTGGTATCACTTGGCACTGAGAGAAGCAAAACAGCTGACAAACTGGAGCCTTTGGACACTTTATGTAACGAACTTATGCATCAGGGCAACCGAATTCCTTGCCGCATCTGAGACTAAATTTAGAAAAGTGTTTATGGACGACTTAACCTATTCAGATCAAGCACTTAGAAGGGGCCAATTCATCAAGGGAACATAGCAATCTTAATGGTTTATCAGAAAAAACTGACGGAGCTGCAGAGAGAAAAGGACAAATACACAATTATAATTGAAGACTTTAATATCCCTCGATCCATAATTGATAGACAAAGTAGACAGAAAATTGGTAAGAGTATAGGAGACTTAAATAACACTATCAAGCAACTTGACCTAGTTAATATTTATAGAATAAAAAGAATAGCAAATTAAACCTGCAGTAGGCAAAAGACTGCCTTAAAATAATTGTCATACTTAAATATTATACTCTCTTAAAATTTCCTCTTATTACAAGCTAATTAATTTGTTCACTCTCATTATGAGTTAACTCTTCAAAATAGTTCATTGTAGAGTGGAATTTCTCATTTTATTTGGAAGACTTACGGAGTAATAAAAGTCTTTTATCCTTTACTGACTGGTTGGTTGGTTGCTTGGTTCGGGCTTCCTCTTTATAGCAATGATCTGAAATGTGTTATGTTCAGACCTATTTATAATGTTATAATGGGGTTACACTGTCGGTCCTAAATTGTGTGTGTGTGTGTGTGTGTGTGTGTGTGTGTGTGTGATTTCTAACACTCAGTGTAGCTTTGCATTTGTTCACAAACAGGCCTCTGATGAATAAGAAAGCATAAATTCATGTGCTTGATAATGAATTGTTTTGACAGTATACTTTTATTACTTTTAGTAATAGTCAGTCATACTAAGGAACTTTTAAAATCCTAATGGAGGTCGCATGGGAAGAATCTTAATTTAAAAGGGAAGTAATCATATTTTCTTCTAGTAACATGTTCCTATATTCCATTTCAATTAGTTCAGTTTTGCACCCATAATTCCAGTTCTGTCCAGTTTAATGTTTGTTCTGATAAAAATATTGTGGTTTGGATAATCAACTACATAATCGACCAAACCTATCTCTTAGAGATATTACTCTCAAAGTTAGGAAATAGCCATGTCTTACATCCAATAATTCTTCCAGAAATCTATTCAAAGAATAATCACAGATGCAGAGATGTATATTTGTGTATAATTATGTCTCTTGTGGGATCATTCATAGTCACAAAAATGTAAACAACTTAAAGGCCAATCACAGCAAAGCATTAAATGAGTAAATGGAATATTATTATAGGTAAATGAAATATGTAGCACTTAAATAGTGTTTCTAAAAATAGTTAATGAGTAAGAAATGATCAAAATATGATTTTCACAGAAAAACTGACACATATGATATATTTATAGTACATTTCCTACTCTATTACATGCACTATAGTTCATACATATACACACACACCATTCAGAAAAATTAAAATATACAAATTATTATTTCTGGATGATCTATATATTATGAATAATATTTTCATTCAAATTCCACTGTATTTTTTCAAAATTTTTTAATAATGTGTCACATGTATCATCAAAATAAAACAAGCATTTATATAAGAGCATGAGTGAGTGAATCAGTATAAAAGACCCATGGACGAGCTGAAGGGGGGTAGGATTGAGGGTGTGAGGTGGCGGCAGGGAAAGTGGTGGAAGGGGAAATGAAGACAATTGTACTCAAACAACAGTAAATAAAAGAATGAAGAAAGATTTACCACTTTGGAGTTTGGGAAGTGGAGAGAGCCATTTGAGTAAGCAAACAAAACATAAAGCAAGAAGCACCTTGAAAAATAATAGAGCAATAGGAAATACAGTCAATAATATTGTAATAACTGTATATGGTGCCAAGTTGGTACTTGAAATATCAGAGGGATGACTTTGTCAAGTATGTAATTGTCTAACCACTAAGCTGTACACCTGAAACTAATACAAAATAATAATGTAAACTGTAATTGAAAATAACTTTTTAAATAACATGGTAATATTGCCTAGTAAGATAGGTCATTTTCTGTACTGTCATTCCTTTCAGGAACTACTGATTCAAACAATAATTCCAACACAAAGTATCTGAACCTGAGGTCATATGTACAGTCTTACTTAAACTTCTAATAGTCCTATGCCATGTTGAGCATTATATTGTGGAAACTTTGAAAAGTAAGATTTTTTAATGGAACATATTTTTGAAATGGCAACTAAGCTTTAAAAAAACAAGCCTTGGGCATTATATAAAGAACACTTAAAGACACCAGGAATGCTTATGTGAGAGAAGTGAAGGTTTTACGTCACCTCATGAAGACGCAGCTAACAGTCAGAACTAACTAAGGATGAAATGGGATCTCTCACCAGGCAGTGAATTGCCTATCCACTCAACAGAGGGACTGCCACTGTGCAAATGAACCCACGACAACCACTTTGGAATCTGCTGCCATTTGCAAAGACATCTTTCTTAATCTTAGAGAAGCTAGGCGTCAGATGGATATTTATACTAACTCTTCTCTACTGAACCCTCTAAAGTTAGCACGCTGTGTTAACATTCCTCAGAGTTGATCCACGTTGCTCACAATTTTATTTTTTACATTGACATAGTGTTATATTTTTATTTTTTATTAAATTACTTTATTGTTGTTCAATTACAGTTGTCTGCATTTTCTGCTCACCACTCCCCCGCAACCCCAGCCAAACCCACCTCCCTCCCTTGCTTCCACCCTCCCCCTTGGTTTTGTCCGTGGGTCCTTTATAGTAGTTCCTGAACACCCTCCCTCCATTCCCCCCCAATCCCTCACAGTTAGTTTTATATCAAACTAGTAGAGAAAGCTGATGATCCATCATTTAATAGTCAGTTAGTGATTATTCTCAGACACCTCATTGTTGATTTCCCCTCCCACTAGAGGTGGAAGGGAGAGTTCATTCATGAGTTGACTCTTCTGCATGTTAAAAATTAAAATGAGAGACTTTGTGGGAGGGGTTTAATATCACTGGCCAAAGTGGTATATGGACATCATGAGCATGCTCCCTAAGCCACTCTACCCCTATGGCCTGTTTCCCTTTACATTAGCTGTTTTCTGTTTGTCAATAAAACATGAGATTAAAAGTTACAATTGTAATCTCAGCTTCCTTAAAATGCCAAATCTGTGACGATAATAATAATGCTGAGCTCATCCAGCCTGAGTTTGGATTGTATCACAAATGAACATACATTTCACAAACGACTGATCCTGTATTCTGCTCTGTAATGACTTCCAAGATAAATGTCCTTTACTCTATGAGAATAAATCATAAATATCTCTAGGCTTCATTACTGTGGGTTTCTGGTTAAGTTTGTCATCTGGAAAGTATACTTACAAAAAACATACTTCACTGACAAGGTAAAAATCTGCATTTT